AAAGCCCCATTCATTATTGGAGAGAAAGTCAAAATTTCGGAGGTGGTATGGCTGTTCCATAGATAGGCACTTAGATTTATGAAACAGAAGAGGGAGTTTAGAATTTAGCTACATATGTGTAACTAATTATTCCGACAATGTTATTAATATTATGCAGCACTTAGAGACAAAGAACAGGGTATCATTTTAAATAACTGTTTGAGAATAACTGGTTATCCATTTTGAAAAACAAAACAAAACAAAAAAACCTTGAGTATTACCTCTTAACTACACAGTAAGTCACTTGAAATGGATAATAGGCAACTATAGTCCTTAAAAGATGGGAGAAATTTTATGCAAACTTGTGTAGGCAAATCTGTATTAAATGATATGAAAAAAGCAAAAAATATAATATAAAAATTAAAATGGGATTTTATAAAATTAAAACCCTGAGCTTTTTGAATGGCACATAAGTAAATGAAACAAACAAGCAAACAAATCATGGATTGAGAGAAAATATTTTTAATATCTATGTCACCTAACTCACAATGATCTTGTATCTAGAACATATAAGGTGTTTTGCAATTCCATTACAATAGGATGTATAATTCAATTTTAAAATGAGCAAACCATTTAAACAAACACTTGGCAAAAGAAGGTACATGAATAGTAATGAAACATATAAAAAGTAATTCAACATCTCCAGTGATTAAGGAAATGAAAATTTAAAACAGGGAAATTTCTATGCACTAGGATGAGAAAACCTGAAGCACTAACTTCAGCAAGTGTTAGCGTATAGAGCAGCAGGGGCTCTTGAACTATATGACATGATTCCATTTATATAAGATTTTCAAAAAAACAGATATTCAAAATAGAGACAATACTGGTTGCATGAAGTCTAAGGAGGAATTTACTGCTGAGGCATTTGGGTACAATTTGGAGGATTGAAAGTATTTTGTATGTTGATTCTAGTCATAATTACATAGGTATGCATATTTTCCAATTTAGTCTGACTGTCCATATAAAATGGGAATAATTTCACTTTATATAAGTTAAACTTTGAGAAAGTTGATTTAATAAATAAGACATCATAGTGAAGGTGAAAAGAGAGTCCACCAACTGGCAGGCTATATTAATGAACACATAACTGAAAGAAGTAAATATATGAATTATTTCCCATGAATCTAGTGGTAAGCTAAACATGGAAAATGGACAAATGTAAACTGCAGAAGAGAAAAGTTGAATCTTATATATTTTTAAAAGTAAATACTTTGGCGATGATGCTTTCCACTAAGGAGTACCCTTTACTCAGAGGACAGAATTGAAATGGGACACAGGTAGACTGTATGCTAATAGTGAGATTTATTCCCTAACTTGTTGTTTCAGAAGAGTGTCTATGTCCTTATTCTTTAATTTGCATATGATATTGCGTGTTCTCCAAATATTACATAATTAACAACACAAAATCCAGGTAGAGTGTCTGATCATATTATTTCTTTCTGCAAGGGAATCTATCTCATTAGGAATCCAAGGTGTTGATGAAACTGCTTATTTTCCATTTTGAAGATCAACTTTAACTTCTCATTTTTTATTCTTTTGCAATCTTGGAGTAGTCTATACATAATAAATTTAATTTTTAGAAATTTCAGTCTGCCCTTTTTTCTACAAAGGTAGGTTTCATTTCCAAAATTGTGCATTATTTTCTTCTGACCTGATTTTACCTCCTTTATCTCTTGAATTTTCCCTTTGTGAGCTTCAACTGGTTCCTGATTCCTACTCATTTTATTCTGTTTTCTTATAAATTTGTGCTCCTTTCTCACCTTTTCTTACAGTCTATTGTGAATGCAAATCAATTCTGAGGAATAATGCTTCTGGAACCTATAGAATTCTCAAATGTAGCAGTGGTGATAAAATTAGTGATAGAATAGCAATAAAATAACACCTGCACATATATTCTTGTAGTGATTTTCAATTGCTACATTGTATTATATCCATTATATTGACTGTTTCATTAATCATGAAAAATACCATAGCTATCACTGAATCATATTTTATTGCCCTCACTCTTATTATTATGAATAGTATGAACTCTAGGAAGATTGCATAAGTACCTCCAGAGTGGAGGAGATTGACAAAATACCTATTTGACGTTGGAATCTCTGCCTTTACTAAGTTCTTCTGTATATTGTTATTCTCTTTAAATTAGTTTGGAATAGGAACTCCTGAAAATCTTGGTGTTACTAAGAGAGCTTCAGTTCTAGAAATACCTAAATACATCTCATAAAATGCCATGTACCCTCTCTTGTTTCCATCTACTTTATAATTAATTCAGTAGTTTCTCGATTCTGGTATAAGTTTGCCATCAATGATAGGGATTGTTAACTTTCTCTAAAGGTCCTAACTAGCATTTTAATAAGAAAATTGAAGACAGTGTATTAGAGTCTACTAGGAAGAAATGAATCCTCACCAGAAATTGATTTCTTTCCTCTATGCTGAGATCTAGTATTGCACTGCACTGCCCCATCTGTAAAGCACTCTGCATACATTATTTATATGCATATGCTGTGTCTCCAACCAGATCATCTGGGTATGGTTCGGTCTCCTGTCTCTCGTTATCCCAGTAAGGAAATACATCATTAATAACAGGGGGATTTTTCTCTCTCTCTCTCTCTCTCTCTCTCTCTCTCTCTCTCTCTCTTTTACTTTTAACTTCTCTGAAATATTAAAGATCAGTGCAGAAGATAGAATAAATACAAAAAACATTTCTTGCAATTCAGGATATTATTAGAATAAAAGAGATGAAGAAAATGTACAATAGAAAAGCTCTAGGTAAGTTACCTACAAAATTAAACATTTAATGTAAGAGCCAGAATATCTAATCTGGAATGAGAGGAGTCTCAAATATGTTGAAATAATCATTTTAAGGAAGGAAAATATTTGGTGATTTAAATTATCAAATAAATTCATGACATTTATTCAGCTGCAAATTTTTTATGATTTCAAATTATTTATAGTAATCCAAGTTTGGGAAATGTGTGAAAACATTATTTTTCAAATTGATATTGCTTTGGACACTGTTAAAATGCTAGTTAATGCATTTGTCAAATAAATGCAAAGTGCAAAATTGTAAATTGATAATATTATGCCCTCACTTTAATTCTCATTATAGAGGGAAATAATCTTATTTTAAAAGCTCATTGATTTGAATTTAGCCCATCTGGAAAATCTCTAACACTGTCCTATTTATAAAATAATTAACTGAAAATGATGATCATTTTTTCGAGTCATAATGTAAAAATTGTTTTTCTTTGCTATTTTGCCAACTGTTAAGTCACATTGGAAAAAGTCACAATGGTCAATGGCTCTTTTCAAAATGGTGGTAGTGGAGGATTCATCCATGAGTAATATGATCAAAATTCTAAATTTGGAAATTAAGAAGTGTTACAGATCCTCAAAACTATGTGTGTGCTTATGTGGAAAAAAGATGTCTAAGGAGTGACAGAAAAATATGGTGGATGTTTAAAAACCTTACTAAAGTAAAAGGCCTTGCTAAGAACCATGGGATAAATGTGCTTGCATTGAAGGCAGGTGTTTAGAGAGGGATCAATGGCAATGTGTCTTTAATTGTAATACATTTTAAAAATTAAACATTCACTGTTATTTGATCAGTCCTCATTGATAACTGTGTATGATTTTTTTTTCAAATGAAAACATTACGGTGTGTCCTCATCTAATTTATTAACTGGATCTGGCACCTTGCGACTTCTGGTTTGTTCCCAAAGTCCAGTGACCACCAGAGGCAAACATTTTGATTCAATTCACAGCATTAAAGCAGCCATAACTGTGCAACTAAAGACATAGAATAGATATTCTAGAACTGCTTCTGAAAGTAGCAGTAATGTTGGGATAAATATGTCTGAAGCAAAGAGATATATTTTGTGGGTGACTAAGAGCAAGGTGTATTTTAGGTAACACATTTTTAAAAATTTAAACCTATAACTTGTTTTTAATTGCACCTCATATGTTACATGAGTAGTCCTGAGAAAGATCAGTAAAACTCACTCATAAATAGATTACCACAACTTCATACTGCATTGATTAATTTTTCAAATTTTGCTTTTTTATTCTGTAGCTTCCAAGCCCCTCTACCTTTACAAATATAATTACTAAGCCTTATGAATCTTTAGATAGCTAGTTAACTATGTACTATTGCCATCTAATACTGTTCTTCTGTTCATAGAGTTAAGTTGTTCCATTTTATATATATTTACTGTAGGCCAATGGTAGATCAATACTTCATTTGTCTTATTGTTGGAGCTATAATTACAGATCTCTACAGAAGTCAAGAGGTATAAATAATCCAGAAATGAAGTCTTCATGTATTTTTATAAGATGTTTGAAGAACTAAGCTCATAGAGGTACTAATAATGACATGTTTTTATATGAGACTCAAAATAACCTAACTGTTTCCTCTACATCTCCCACATTTTAGATTTCCAGTTTCACATCAAGCTTCAGAAATAAAAATGCAATTACAGTGAGAGGATTAGGAATATGAATCACTTGTCATCTCCATGTCTTTCGATATTTGTATGAAATTCACAAATGAGTTTGTAATACATATCAGAAAGTAAAATTTATTATTTTCAGATCCATTTTATGTTCTTATACATCAGGAAACATTACTTGGAATGTGTACCTTTTTTTACACATTGAGTGAACCCCTGAATAGAAAAATAAGTCCTCACTTGTTTGAAAGATAATCCCGAGTCCTGCAATTTTCTGCAATCACACGGTGTTTTGCTCTCAAAGCCTTGTCTGGAAGAAGCTCTAGGAAATGGTCTACTGATGGAGCTCACAACTCAGAGGCCCCACATGTGACTCAATTATGGCAGCCTTGCATTGCACCCATCATTTTCACCTGCTCAGCCAGCTTTTCCTCTCCTCTCTTTAGTGAGCTGATGCAGCCATGCTCTCAGGCAGGAGCCAGGAAGTCTGCAGTCTCCTAGGCAGCCCTTTTTTTTTATTGCTTAGACTTTCACCCGAGCATGTTAATCTCACATTTTCCCCTTTTATCAGTCTTCCCCTCATTTCTCTTCCCAGTAGAATGTGAGTCCACACTGGAGTCCATACCCTCGTCCCTTCCTTGGGCTAATAAAAGAGTCCTGTAAAAATCCATCAGTCATTACACTACGGTGGCAATGGCTTCAGGTCAGGAAGTGATATGTTAGAAAATCATTAAATTATCCACAAAATGTCCTTAAAATCCTATATAATTTAGCCCTTGTCTGCTCCTTTCCTCTGGCCTCCTTCCAAGCTTTCCCCTTGAGACCTTTCTATTGCCAAGCAAAAATTTATAGTTTCTGAGTCACACCAGGCTGTGTCCTGACTCTGCTGAGTTTTATCCCCATTCCTCATCTTTCTTCAAGACTCTTCTTCTCTGAGAATAAAAAAAAAAAAACACACTCATTTTTATACACACAACTCAAATGGGTAAAATTCTTCACCCTTTCTATTGTTTCCTGCACATACACAGGTCTTCCTTAACACCGAGGCAAGGAGTTTCAGGACTGTCAAGCAGGTTAAGTTATTTTCTCAGGGCCACATAGCAAAGGAGTTACGAAGAGATGAGTTTAAACTCAGTCAGTCTAACTCCAGAGTTCAAGTGTCCACCCGAGACAGGGGGTTAACAGGACTGTGAAGTAACCACCTTGAGCTAGAGTAGAAGAAATAAAGACTAGGTAGAAAGGAGACAAGGAAACCCAGTTTTTAAAATTATACTTTAAATAAAAACTGTATAGCTTCAAGACAAAAAGAAACTCGTCTTTTTTCCTTCCAGGAAATTCACTAAAAAAGTTTAAAAAATCGGAAAGGTCCTTTTGCACTAAGCCTATATATCTCGTCACTTAGTCTGTCCTTTTCACCTGCACACTGCACTTCCTTTGTCCTCAGGAAGCAGCAGCAGTGGCGGGCAGCAGATCTGGACTCCACACACAAATGGATGACTTGTGTCATAACCCGATGGACAGAACATTGTACACATCCTAGCTCTCCCATCTCGATAACACCTCCTTACATATCCTAACTCTGGATCATATGGTGTCACACTTCTCTGAGCACCACACTCCACTCGAGTACATTCTGTATGTCCGTCTAGTAAACCCTTCTCATACTGATTCATTCTTTTTCTGTGACAGGACTCAGCAAACCCACAAGCTTATTTTAAAGGGTGGGATAGGTTCCTTATTTTAGTCTCAGGGATCCCTCAGACCCAGCCCGGTGACAATCTGATAGGAAATAAATGAGCAACTGTACTTCTGAGTGATAAGAAAAGAAAGATAGGAAGAAAAGGGCTAAAGGTGTAGGGGAAGTGGGAAGGGTAGGGGAAAGGAAATAAAGGAAAAGAAAAAATATGAGAAAATGAACTAAGGGAAACAAAGTCTTTTTTTATAGGGGAGGGTGGAGGGGGTGAAGGGAGGGCAGGGGTATGGGGAAAAATGAGATGCAACATCTGTCATGTAAAGGTACAAGGTCCCAGTGATGGGTGTGCTATACTGTATACATAAAAAGTACCAATAAACTCAATGAAAAAAAAAGAAACCAAATGTTGGAGTTAATCAAGGTATTATAGACAGCTAAATTAGGTAGCAATGAAGGCACAGAGAGGGACTGGACCCTCGAGGAAGTCAGCACAAAAAAACAGACATCAGAATTCTGGCTGCAGGCAAATCCAAATGAACCAGGCCTCCGGATGGAGAAGTAATAGCAAGGGCTGCAGCCTCCTTAGAGATAAACAGTGATTTGAGATTGCAGTGCAATTAGCACTACCTGGTCCAGTGGGCCCAGCTAAGCATCGGCCTCATAGGTGAGGGACCAGAACATCTGGACTCATACTCTTTCTCTAATGCCTTTGTTCTTTCTATATACTCTTGCTGTATAACTTGTTTCCCTATTGGATCAATATTAGCTTAGCAGCTATATTTGTAATTCTGTGGCTTGATTGTGGTCTGACCCACATTTGCCTACACTGTGATTTTGCAGTGTAAATTACTCCTGACAAAGAGCCTGAGTGGCCACCCAGTTGGGACCCCTCCTGAAAGTCCAGGAGCTCTTCTTCCCCTTATTTCCAGGGAAACACTCCTAACTTCGTCCTTTGGTTCAAGACTTTGTTCCTTGATATTGCGAGGCTGCAAACTCAGCACATTTGACATATAACAGGTTGGGAGTTAGATTTTTCCTCTGTCAAAAGGAGCAAACCATACACTTCTTTGAGAAAGAAAGCAAGTAATTAATCAAAGGAGCAAGCATACAGAGTCTCCAAGAAAAGAAAGCAAACTGCACAGGCAAACTGAATGACATCAGTGCAAATAACAAAACTGCACCCAGTTCAGAGATCCCTGTACCCTTTAAAAAAAAAAATCCATGAATAATTAATGACATTCCTTTGAGATCCCATAAATTGCTTTTTTTTTTTTTTTTTTTTTGTACCAGGGATCGAACTCAGGTCTTTGTGCTTGTAAGGCAGGCAGCGGAACCACTGAGCCAATCCCTGGCCAAGAACCCATAAAATTTAAATGCCTCCTTTGTGTAGGACTTCTTACTCTATGAAGTAGCCAGTCTTTTCTGTCCGTAAATAGGCTTTTGGTGGAGGAACCGATTTCACTGTCTTTTCTAGGGTTGGAGTCTGTAGAGCAGTCAACTATGTTTCTTTCCTGTAAGAAGCTTTTTCTTTTGTCTTGAAACTGGCCTGTGTATAATTTCCATTTTATATATATATATATATATATATATATATATATAGAGAGAGAGAGAGAGAGAGAGAGAGAGAGAGAGATAAAAATATAGATAAAGGAAAGGAAGAAGTGGGCTACTTTTCGCCTGTATATTTTTTCATGGTAAAGTTAAAGCCCCCTCTGATTCATTCATCTTTTTTTATCTTCAGAAAATTGCAAAGTTTTAGCAAAAAGGTATGTGATATTTGCAAATGCTTATTTTATTGAGAGATAAAAGTCCATACCTGGATTGTCAATAGGTATTTTAGGTGGAAGTCATATTTTTTTATTGCAGTTGATAAGCATTGTCTGAAAAGAAAAAGAAATTTAGTTAAAATTGGGTAGGGCATCTTATATTTTTTAAGCCAAATATTTATCACAAGTACTATCTTATCCAATAATTCAATAATAGGCAGAGAGAAAAAAAGGAGTACATTTGATATAATTTTATTAATATTTCATGAGTGCCTTATAGAGTTCGTATAACTCGACAGAGTATAAACATATTCAAAAAATGTTAATACTCCAAAGAATCATGATGAATTAAACTTTTCCAAGTGACTGGGTTCTGTGGTTTATAGACTCTTTCTAAGTGCTTGGTATCCAGAACAAAGAAGTGGTCAAGTCACATGCAAAAGGTAGCAAAGTTTTATATTCTTTAAAGGTAAGAAAAGAAGTATACTCTGCCACATGAGAGCAGACCACAGAGAGAACTTACAGTGCCTATGAGGTTAATGGTAAGGTCTTTTGTCAGATCTAGGCCATACTATCAAAAATCTGCTTGATTTTGCAACAGATGAACTGAAATTAGCACTTGCTGATTGGTCCCAGGTATAGGGCTTAGGAAGTATGTTCTGTGCATGTCCTGAATCTCCGTGATCAACAGGTCTTGCCCACTTGCTCAGCCTCAAAAGGCTGATCATTACAGTATATGGAACTACTGTTAATTCAAAGTGAAAGTTGCCAATATGTGATATTGTGAAATGTGTCCTTGGACTTTGTACCAGTTTCTTGGTATATGAAGTCTCCAAACTGGTGTAAACTATGGGAATGAGCTGACTAATGGCTAAGTACTCTCAGGTTTCTTCAGGATGGGAGATGGTCACCAAAAAAAGCAAAGCTTTTAGTATGGCACTACTAAAACTCTTGAAATCTCCAAAGTGGTGATAGGGAGAAATCCCCATACCTTTTAGAGTAACAGAAATCTGGGTTGATCATAGTAGTGTGAGAGCAGAGGAGAAACAGTTTTCAACTTGAAAGATAGTGGTAAATATTAACACTAAGAAATGTAGGAGCATATGAAATGTTATAGAGAAATGCTTCTGGAAGTAATTGCACTTATTTTTAACAGAAAGGATGGTTTTTGCACAAAATCTGTGCATTTTTCTCTCCTGAACTTATCTTCCTGTTCCAGTTTTATCCATGTTTAGGTAGAATAGAGATAATTCTTGTGGACTTCACTGTTCAAATTATTTTCCACAACATTAATTATTTTATCTTCTTATTTTGTTCTAAAAAGTTCTTATTTGAGTGATGAGTTATGTTAAACAAAAATAGCATGAAAATCCGATCAATATATTTTAAAACAGCTGCCTTTTCATTCTTTACTGCACTATCTTTTCAGTTGGAGTCTGTCAATTTACTCCAAGAGGAAATAGAATATGGAAAAGGTGATGAAAAGACAGGAAGAGAATAGCATTTTAAAAATATAAAAATTGTTTGTAAAACTAAAAGTTCACTCTTTCTTTCTGCCCATCTTTGCTTTTTTTTCCTGGATAAATTTATTTTACGATATGTGTAACTAAGAAATAAAAATTTGAGTTAGATTATGACTAAAATCCATTGTAGTCCTAGATATTCTATGATTTTATACAGGAAAGCTTGACATTTTATGGAGGATGATGGGAAAGAGAGGCACACAAAAAGGGACAAAAGTTTAATGGAAAAATACGGCTTTTGAAAATTTCAGATTGATCTGATTTTAGAAGTGCCACTAATGACCTGATTAAACTTGAGCAAGTTAGGTGGCCTCACAGAATTTCAGGCTGCTTGATGCTGAAGTTGATAATATGCAGTGTCCTACTTCAATATTCTCCTGGGGATGATTTAGATGAGAACATATACAAAATGCATAACCTCTCCATGAAGATATGACTGTTATTAATAGTAAAAGCAGTTATAAATCATAGTTTATATCAGGCTGTACTTTAAGGATTTATGAGATGTACCTCCCACATGATGCTTTTGCTGGTTCAGCTCAAAACAATTTAATGCCAGAAATATCCAATCTGTAGTAATGATTTCTTCTCCTAGTTTAGGTTTCTGATAACTCTGTTCTTTCAAATAATACATGCCTATATTTAGGTATAAGAATAATTAGGGCATGTTTATTTCCTGTTACTTAAATTTTCCAATTTGAATTTTCAATCCTCTGTTTACGATGTACCAATTATTTTCAGGGTGTTCCAAAAGGAATTTTAAGCAGAAGATTGTGACTTTCAAAGTATGGAGATTTAGCTTTGCAAAGATCTTAGTGACACATGCATACCCAAAGTCACAAAATGAATTAAAAAAATCATTGAGCATACAATAACCAGCAGCAGAGATATTTTAAAATGAATGTTAGATCATTCTGGAAAGTGCTAGTATCTCTTCAAAAATATCTGAAAAGCTGTGAAAAATAGATAATTACAGAATTTGCCAAAGGGAGATATCTATTAAAATCATAATAGCTTCCACTGTACTAGTGAAAAGATAGATTTTACAGTGAACTGAAAAATATTGTGAGTTGGCATTTGAGAACTCAGTCAGAAAGTTGTCTTGGAACAGAAATAAAATATCTTACCTGGACACTTTCCAAATGTGTGTAAATTCTAGAAGTTGGTTCAGGTGCAACTCACCATGGTCATCAACAGGCTGTGGAGAACAGAACATATTAATATTTATGCGGGGAATAGGAATGAGTAGAAGATAAAAATAGGTTTGTAGCTTCCTGCTGTCTTTTTATTCATCTATTTTGATAACCCCCATTCATAATTTTTATACTTTGTCTTAATGACCTTACAAAACTTTCCTTAACTGTGTAATTCTTCTTTTCAGTAATGGAATAGAAACTGGAGGTTTGGTTGCAGCTCCATATAGGAGAATGTGGAAATACACCTTGGCTTTTCTTTTCTCAATTGTTTTCCTTGTTAATCTTCTTTTTTTTCTCTTTCTCTCTTCCACTTTGATCTTTATTTATCTCCCTTTTTGTTCCTATTCCTATCCTAATTCAAATTTATTTTCTTTTTATTTCTCTCAATTGCTATTAGTTTTTTTTTTAAAATGATTACAGTCTCTACCCTCCCTATTGCTATTAGTTGTTCTGTTCTTGTGTATACTTTGTTCTGTCTTCTCCTCTTTTCTTCAACAGCTTCCTAGAGTTTGTATGAACTTCATATGTCCTCTGACCTCTCATCTAACCTTTCTCTATCCTATCTATGTATCCTTCCCTCCCCAACTCTTTCTAAGTCTCCACCCTTAAGGGTAAATTTGCTATATTGAAGGGTTTATTCACTATAAACATATTTTGGGTTGGTCCTCGATTTTGGTTTAATTTACACATTCAAAGTTGATAGATTAATAACTACCACAAATTGTCATTTTCTAAGCTGTGCTTGATGTTACTGTGTTGCTGATTATATCACTTGGGCTAAGGTGTTGTGATTGATCAAATCAGTTGTCCTTCCTGGTATAATGAATGAGATTGCCTCAGAGTCATTAGAGACTCAAAACCTAAAGACCAACTATATCTGGAAAATCAAAGTATTAACCCAGGAATTAAACCAAGGACAATGCCAAAAACAAAAATAGAAATGAGAAGACAATTAGACAAGGCACAAGCACAGACTTCCACCTCACCAAAGGAAAACTCTGGGGGAAATGAGGTAGAAAAGTCTGATAGTCAATCATCTGAACACCTTGAACTGATAGCACAGGAAGTAACAAAGCATATAAATGAGGCTCTAGAAAAATTCAGAAACAGAAATAATTTCCCAGATATCCACAGAGATGATGAGAAAAATGAAAGACATGATAAGAGACTCTAGAACAGAAACAGATAAAAAAATAGATGAGCTCAGGACCATGATGGAAACCATGACTGCCTAACACAGGAGAGAAATGGAAACGATGAATGCCCAACATAGGAAAGAAATGAATCCATGAAACAGATTCAGGCAGATATCTAGGAGATTAAAAACTATACAAAGCATTCACAACAGAATGAACAAATGTGAAGATAGAATTTCAGATATAGAAGATAGGATGGCAGACAGTGACAATGAAAAGAGGGATTTCTTAAAAACAGTAAGGGATCATGAGAAATCAATCCAACAACTCTTAGATGATGCAGCAAAGAATAATATAAAACTGATTGGAAGCCATGAAGTAGCAGGAGAAAGTACAAATGACATAAAAAATCTGTTCACAGAATTGATGACAGAAAACTTCCCAAACAGAGGGGAAGAATTTGACATACAGATAAGTTATATAGGACTCCAACTAGCCATGATCGCAAAAGATCTACACCTACATATATAATAATCAAGATCCCAGAAACTCAACAGAAGAACAAAATATTACAAGCATTGAGAGAAAAGAAACAAATGATATTGCAAAGGAAAGCACATCAGAATCACAACAGACTTTTCAACTCAACCTCGCAGGTCAAGGAGAGCCTGGAATGAGGTATTTCAGGTCCTAAAAAAAAAAACCTCTAACCTAGACTGATGTATCCTGCAAAACCATCTTTCAAAACTGATGTGAAATAATATACTTCCACAACAAAGAACACCTGAGAAATTTCATGAAAACCAAACCAGCATTCCAAACACTTCTAAACAATATCCTGGTAAGAGACAATGAAGGCCACAACTCCATAAGGGCCAACAGAGCAAATATACCAGGCAAATCAAGAAATTAAAGGGAGAGAGGGAAAAATGAAAAATAAAAGAACCAACAATGGGAAAATAACATAACAGTGAAAACCAATACATAACAGTTATAACTATCAATGTTAATGGCCTCAATTCACCAATCAAAAGAAATAGGCTGGAAGAACAAGCAAAATCCAACAATATGCTATATACAAGAAACCCATTTAATCCACAAAGAAATTCATAGACTGAGAGTAAAAGGATAGAAAACAGTTCTTCATGCACAGGAGCCTGGAAAAATGTTGGGTAGCTATCTTATTTGCAATCAGAGTAAATTTCAAGCCAAAACTAATTAAGAAGGCCATTAAATCCTTGTAAAGTGAACAATACAAGAGGAAGAAAATACAACCATAAATATATATGCACCATATACTAATGCTCCCAACTATACAAAACAAATATTAATGGATATGAAAAACAAAATAAGCACTAATACAATTGTAGTAGGGAACCTCACTACTCTACTGACACAGATAGACAGATCATCTAGACAAAAAATCAGCAATGAAATTAGAGAACTGAACAAGTCTTTGAAAAAGTGGACTTAGCAGATGTCTACAGACTGTTCTTCCCCACAAAATCAGAATATTCATTCTTTTAGGCTGCACATGAGTCATTCTCCAAGATAGACCACATGCTAGATCATAGAACATGCTTAAGTAAATGCAAAGGAATTGAAGTCACTCTCTATATATTATCAGACCATAGTGCAATTAAACTGGAAATCAATAGCCTAAGAAAATGCAAGAACTTCATAAACACATGTAAATCAAATAACACCCTGTTGAACAACCATTGGGTCAGAGGAAATTAAGAAATTAAAAAATTTCTACAATTAAATGATAATGCCAATAAAACACAGGAATCTATTGCACACAATGAAAGCAGTCCTATGAGGGAAATTCATAGCAGTAAATGCCCATAGTAGGAAAAGAGAGGAGCTCAAATAAATAACCTAATAAATTACGTAGAACTCTTGAAGACATTGGCATAGGAAAAGACTTTATGAATAAATCCTCAGTAGCACAGGAACTTGCACAAAGAATCAACAATTGCTCTCTCATCTTATTAAAAAGCTTCTGCACTGCAAGAGAAATCACCAACAGAGCTAAGAGACAACCTACAATATGGGAAAAAAGTTTTACCAGCTGTTCCCCAGACAAAGGTCTACTATCTAGAGTATAAAAAGAATTCAAAAAAAAATGGTACCCCCCAAATCTAAAGACCCAATTCAAAAATGGGCATCTGAAGTGAACAGACACTACTTAGGCAAACAAGTAAAAGCAGCAAATAAACATATAAAAAAATATTCAATATCACTACTCATTTGAGAGATGCAAATGAAAGCAACACTGAGATTCCATCTCACCCCAGGAAGTATGGCTGCTATCTAGAAATCAACCAATAACAAATGCTGGTGAGACTTTGAGGAAAAAGGAACCCTTCTTCATGGTTGGTGGGAGTGCAGACTGGTGCAACCATTATGGAAATCAGTATGGAGATACCTAAAAGAACTAGTATTAGAGGTTCCATTTGACCCAGCTATCCCTCTGGTGGGTATCTTTCCAAAATAATTAAAAGAATCATACCACAGTGATATATGCTTACCCATGTTTATAGTGGCTCAGTTTGTAATAGCTAAAACTTGGAAACAACCCAAATGCCCATCAACTGGAGACTGGATAAAGAAAATTGTGGTTTTTCTAGAAAATGGAGTACTACTGAGCCATAAAGAATGATAAACTACAGACATTTATAGATAAATAGATGCACATGCTCTTAAGTGGCATAAATAGGACACACGTGTGTAAATGCCAAATAATTTCTCTGGTGTAAAAACTAAAAGTGTAAATAAGGTTCAAATGCTATAATTGATAGTGTGAAATAGGAAGAAAATGGCTAAAGAGGAAGTGGGAAAGGGAGGGCAAAGGAAATATGGGAAAAGAAAAAAATGTAAGAAAAGCAAAAAAATGGAAACAAAGTCTGCAAATAGGGAATGGTGAAGGGGGTGAAGGGAGGGCAGGGCCATGGGGAAAAAGAAAAATAAGACGTATCACGTAAAGGTACAAGATCCCAATGATAAATGTACCTGTATTGTTTGCTTTAAATGTATCAATATACTTATCCTGGAAAAATACTCCTTGGCATCAGGAAGGTCAAACAGTTTCTCCTGGTAAGTATGAAGGCAGGTTTCTAGGCACCAGTTCTCTCCACACATCAGCACTTTCCTCTCCTCCTCCAGCTCCTTTCCATCCCTTCCCCTTGTCCTTTCCCTTCTTTTCTTTCTAAATACCCTGAGGTCAAACAGTCCCTGGTAGTGTAAGACTCTAACTTAACAGATGGGCTGGAGGCTCGGGATGAACTTCTGTTCTGCATTTTTCAGTTTCACCATATCTTGCTGCCAAAAATGTCAGTCTGAGAGAATTTTCCAATTTGGGTGCACTGGATTATGCTAATGGATGACAATTACTGACAAATCTAAATTCTACGAGTTACTCTTTGGTAGTTTATTTTCTGCCTAGGTGAGCAGGAATTATTCATCGCCAATTATCGGTCCTGTGATACATGCACGCCACGTGCCCAAGCGCGTGTGCACGCGCGCGCGCGCGCACACACACACACACACACACACACACACACACACACACATTCAATTCCTTCACCAACTCTTTCCAAATAGTCTTTCATGCAAATCCTGTGCACTGGGCACGGGAACGGAAAATGCAATATTCCACTGCGTGGCACTATTTGACCACGAGGTGCTGACAAATTTGAGCGGCCTGAGCCCGTCCACGCCCAGGTGTGAATAACCTTATGTGTCCATGGGCCACACCATCTATTTCCCAAACTGCCCCTTACAGTTATTGACTGAAAAATCAGAAGAAAAGCCTTTCTATGGCTGAAAGTCAAGAGGTAAATGATTTTTATATTTATTTTGTGAGGAGGTAGAAAGAAGCTTAACTACATGGAAGGCATAAGTCATCACTATAAAACAATACTCTGAATGCATGCCGGGAAAGATAAATATTTTACAGAAATGCAAAGGAATTTAGAGTAGATATACAGTTTACACCAGGAAAGTGCATCCAGTTTCGTGGGGATAGGTGAAAAGGAGTCACAGTGGTGATTCGAATTTTTTCTGAATTAGAGAAATATAAATTTAGGTGTGTTAATCTCAGTAAAAACGAAAGGAAATTTTAAAGTAAAAAACAGTCAAAGAGATAGTAAGATATTTTTAACGAATTAATTTATTTTTGTTTCCTGGGAATTGAGCCTATAATCTTTGCAGTGAGCTACATCCACAGCTTTTATTTTATTTCATGTTAAATAGCTAAGTTGCCCAGGTTAGCCAAGAATATGTGAAACTCCTGCCTTAGCCTCCCAGAATACAGGAATATTACAGGTGAGTGCCACCGTGCCCAAGGGAGGTACCTAAGACTTGACCAGTAAAGTCTTCTTTCAGAAGTTAAAACCAACTAAAGCATAAAAATGATCTGATTTTATATGGTTACGTATTGACAGATTAATTAATTAAAATATGTTTATTTGAAAAATTGTCTACCTATGCATATTAATTGTAAAAGCCACTTTATTTGATTTCTGGAGATACTGCCATCTGTCAGGGATTGGTCCTTGTCCTATAGTCACTCAGTAGAATTTTTAAAGCAGTGTCTCACAGTGTTGGAGCAAATGTCCAGCAACTGTCCATTGAATATAGTGTTCATTTTACTTTTCTCCAAAACTGAAGGTCATACACTGGTTTTAACAAAATTTTCAAACCTATTTTTTATTTAAAAATTATATTGATACAACTGTTTTGTGACTACTCCCTCAAACTAGAAGGAAATACTGTTTTTATGATTAATATTTACAATGTTGACTTTTTTTAACAACTTGGGGAGACACGAAATATGAGTAAAATTTTCAAAAGAAATTCAGTCATTCACACCACATCTAATCAAGGTAGGAGTTTTAAAACTTTGAAATCGGGATGATTTCTAATGACCATCAAATTGCTTTATGAAAAATCTCTTAGAACAAAAATTAAATCATCATAATTCAGTAAATATAAGGAAGTTTAAAATAGGGAGAACATCTAAGATGAATGGAGGTTTGCAATGCTTTTTGCAATTAGAAAAATTAGAACATTGAAAGCCAATGACGCCAGTAAATTTTATCAAATATGCTAATTATTACGTTCCTAGTATTATGGGGAAATGTGGCCCATTTCACAGGCCCCTTTCACAGATTGTTTAGAATGCCAATGTAATTGTTCATAGATGTTTAGCTTACAGCTGAAAATCTGAAAATCAAAGAAGATTCTGTCAGCATTTAAAAAAATAAAATTAAGAGAAAACATTCACTATCTTTTTATGATGTCTGTATAAATCTCAAGGGTCAGTTGTTTTACACACAATAATTCACAAAATGGACATGCATCACAAGTTGATAAACTGTGTCTGCTATATTAAGCTGATTAATATATCATATATTCCCAGAAAGAAGAAGCTTTATAAAATTTACATTAAAATCTAGGCAGTTCTCCTTTTTTTGGTCACATGCTGTAAGCAGAACTTAGTAGGCCCACAGGGCCAGAATGCTGATAGGAGTGTGGATAGTGTTACTATTTCTGGTGGAGATTCTCTTCCAAATCTGTGAATAATGAGAATACTCACCCAATCTGGTTACTATGGAAACTCAACTGAGAAATGGAAGTGAAGAGCTTACGCCATTGCCTGGCCTTGGTAGTACCACTTAGTAAGATTGATGTCATAAAATCAAGGTGTTAGACTTATGACATTGCAGTCCTTTATTATTGAAAATTCTAAAGTTTTACTAAAATTGCTTTTCATGTGAGCATTTTAAAAGTTTACTCATGGGCTTGAAAATAGTGAGTGATATGGACTTGTAACTTAAGGATCGCTACAATTCAGATGACCTAGTGAAAAACAGACATTTCTAGCGACAACTCTACATTATGTGCTCAGGACGACTATGTGTTGTTCCTAAACCTGGTGACAATGCCAGTGGTGACAACAGCCCGAAGATGCTGCACTGGACGATGTTATAATATAGTGGGTTTTATGGTCACAATGCTTTTGCTCAAATCCCATTTCCCTTGTTTGCTTTCTGTAAGACTTGGGACCATGGATTTCATCTCAATCTTTCACTACTTTAAATTAAATATGATAGGGAAATTATAGTATTTCTCATTTTTTTGATGTTAGGCTATTTAATTATTCGAAGCACTGAGACCAATAGTAGTATATAACAGATGCCTGATATGGTTAGTTATTATTAAACGCATATGGTGTCCCAGTCTCTAAATTATATGAATAAAACTGTGGAAAATAAAGGAAAACAGGTGAAAAATATATGTGAAGCTAGAATTTTGACCAATTTCTCTTAGACACACATCTAAACTCTCTGAGAACAGCATGGAAATTCTAGGTACACTTTGCAATATACAACTCGTAGCACACTATGTGGCTTCCACGGACTTACTGGCTGGCCTCAGATCCAAACAAGCTCCTGTCCTCACCAGCTCTATGGCTATAGCCTTAGGAAAGTCCAGGTGCCTCCCTGGGAGTCTATTTCTTTATTTTCAGTAGTGCTTTCCTCATAGAATTGTAAAGATTAAATGTGACAGAAATGTTAAAGTTTCAGACATAAAATATATGCTAAATGCATACTATATCAGAATAGGGGAGTTACATGAATTTTAAAATAAAACAATTTGTGTGACACTGAAATGTTAGTGTTTTGTGAATTATTACACCAATGAGATAAATTACATTTTAGAACCATGTAAATTAGTATCATGTATTTTCTTTTCTCTGCCACGTTGCAGTGAAAGATGATGATTTCAATGTTTTCTACAATTTTGAGGGCAATTTAAAGAATGGTAAGTTTATTAATGCTGACAAGATTAGTTGCACTTTATAATGTTTCTTTGTGGAGATTTCAGACCCATAGCCCTGGAGCTGTCAACAGCAGTGAGGCTGGAAACCAGATCCAAAAGATATTTCTAAACAACTCTCTTTTGGCCTCATTATGTTCTATTCCACATAGATATATTTCAACCTCATGCACCGCCTGACATTTTTTATGATGAAACACCTTATATTAGGGGGAAAAAAGAATCAAGCACTAGAATCTGTTATCTGATAAAAATGACAGGGTGATAGGATTCTTGCTTAACGCAGGTAATTGGAAGATTCTAGAGATAAAAGCTGCCCAAATAACAAAGTTCACTGCATGCGGTGCAATTTGGGTTGGGAGTAACTCAAGACATTACACAGGGAATAAAATTCACATCTAACAGCATGAAATCATGTCATTAAAGCACAGTAATCCTTTTCTAGGTAGTTTTATCATATATACTACGGCTATTAATATGTCCTGATTTGAGCTGTTTTATTTATGGATATAAACAGTCTTCAGATTTAACTAGAATTGTATTGTTTTTCTGCCTTCCATGGTTTCTCCTTTCCCTACCTTGGAATGACCTACCTTCTAATGCTATCTCGTGATGGGTAGGACATCAGAGCATAGAAACTCAGCATATAACCCTAGGATGGCATTCATCATGTTGCTTCAGTCTACATCAAGAGGCATTTAGCTTAAATATTTCACCCTGTGTCAATCACTATACTTAAGTAAACATGTGCAGATTAAGTCGTGTCATTCTGGGTTGGCAGAGATAGGCACATTGTCATTAAATCTATTCATTTGCTAAATGACACCACAGCTAAAATAAATCTTACCTTTCTAGATAACTTTCCTGGAGCTGTCCTATTTTTCTGTAGATGAAGTTGAACAGATTTATTTTTCTGAAACATTTTGTGGCTCCCCAAACAGTGGTCACTGGAGAAGAAAAAAATGAACACGATCATATCCAATAATACCCCTGAGTGTGTGTTCTCCTCCCTGACTTCATTTTCTTTTATTTTTGGAATTTAGTCTGGTAAAGGCTGGAATAAACTGTGAGCATGTGTGTTTACATAAATATAATGAGAGGAGATATATATCTAGAAATAGATGACAACATATTGTAATGTTTAGAAATGCATTAATAAATTAGAAAACATTGGGTATATTTAGAGTGGTCATAGTTCTGGTAAAGAATGTTTTATGCATTTAAAGTTAGATTTTGGTGGGGGCGTACTGGGGATCAAACTCAGGACCTTGAGCTTGTGAGGCAGGCGGATTGCCACTGAGCTAAATTCCCAGGCCTATAGTTAGTTTTATCCAGCTATGTCAAACCAGAAGACCGCATGCTTCGGGAGGGCTAGTTGCTGGCACAGTTTTTCTATGGGGGCCACTGTACGGAGGCACAGAGATGTAGTAGAAATGTCATAGGTTTCAAATTCAATATTGTCTTCTTTAGAGTTGGCATATTACTATCTACATTAAAGGGTTCACAAGAAGATTAAAGAGTAAAAAGCCTTTGTATTTTAGATGTTTTTAATGGCATGGTTATATTTTTTTCTTCCTTCCTCTCTGTTTCTGTAACTATTTGCCAAGCACAAATTAGAAGATGAACTTCTACTGTATAATCTCCTTCACAGCTTTCAATTTTCACATCTCTGATGCCTGTTAATTTATTTAAAAAGGAATTATGTTAGTGGATTTTGTTCAAAGGATCTTGGTTAAAGATACAAGCATTTTAGGAGAAAAATCTTCAAGAAAAATGTGGAGTCATAAAGTGGTATTTTAGTAAAGCTGGTGACTATTTCCTAAACTCAGACAAATACATATTATTGTTAATATCTATGAAATGCTTTTTAAAAATTTTATTTTGACAATTGTTATTTTTAGCACCTAGCAGTTATTTTAGGGTTGTATTAGCTGCATTACCTTTGGTGTCTAGAATTACGCTGTCCAGCACGGCAGCTGGACACGCGTGGTAATGTGTGAGCCACTAGACACTGAGGTGAGTATGAATTAAGATGCATTCGAGTGTGAAGTACAATTGGGTTTTGAAGACTTATCATAAAAAATAATGTAGCACATCTCAAACTTTATTTTGACTACATATTAAGATAATGGGGATACTGAATTAAAGAAAGTATGGTATTAAAATTTATTGTCAATTGCTTTCTTTTCCTGTTTTATTCTTTGTGGTACTGAGGAGTAAACCCGAGACTTGCACAGTTTAGGCACATTCTGCCCCTGAGCTACATCCACAACCCTTTTTATTTCTAGATGAGATCTTGGTAAATTGCCCAGACTGCCCTGGAACTTGTTACTGTCCTGCCTCCACCTCCTGAGGAGCTAGAATTATAGGAACGTGCCGTCATACCCGCCTTCTTTTTATATTGTGGTTAATGGAAGATTTAAAACTGGTCGGTCGCCATTGTGGTATTTTTTATTAGATTGTGTTAATTTAAAGGAAATGAAAAAGAACCAAGACAAGGCATTGAAGGCTAGAAACAAGGGTGGTCTGTGTAATTTAGCGAGTAAATGGAGTAGGAAAACAAATTTTTCACTTTGGGATTCTATGAGAAAGAAAGGTTACCAAACCAAAAATAGGCAATGAAAAGCTAGAGACGGACAATGTAGAGGGAAGGGTATCATCCGCCACACTAACAATGTGACTGTGGAATTATCCCTCTCAGACTGGACACACAGATTTCAGATATGAGCTGATTTAGTAGTCATGTACACAGTTCCAATGTTTAGTCATGTACACAGTTCCAATGTTTCACTAAACTGAATCTATGATACAGTCAAAATTTAGGGTTTATTCTAAATATATACTGGTATATCAAGATGTCTCCACATCCATTATTTATTCTTTTGACAAATATTTGATTCCAGTTATCTGCTAGTTACTATTTTAGAAACTATTTTGAGTATACTTGTCATTTAAGACACTAAAAGGCAGAACCCTTGTATGATTATCTCTATTTCCTACTCAGAAATAGCTCATGCTATTTAAAAGTATTTCTATGAAGTACATTCCTATGAAATGTAAAGAGAGATCAATGACCTTAACACCAAAAAGACATGCAAGAACTCAGATTAGTCTTGGTGCCAAAAAATGAATGTCCAATTTATAAATGTTGATTTTCTTCATCCTAGGCATTCATTTCCAACACACATTTCTGAGCAGGGCTCTTTCATCGGAATAAATACATATTTTGATTTTATGGGATATAAAGTTTCAGCTGTTTTTCAGTGTTTGCATATGAAGTAGTAACAGAGTTAGATTGTGAAATATTGTCATATTTTAAAAAAACTATTTTTATTTAGCTTTATGAACATTGAGAGCCAGGACTGTTGACAGATTTTTAAAGATATTTCCTTAAGTAAATTCAGTAATTAAGTTCAACCCATACCACAGTGTGAGTAGGTAAAAATATCAAGCGATTAATTATAAAATATATTAAAATATTAATGATACTATTATTAGAACTATTAGTAGTACTGTACAGAGTCCATTTTGAACAGTTCCATATGTGTACGGATGAATTCTCACACAGGCAAACACAGGTTCATTGGGCATTTTCAGTTTGAAATTTCTATGATGTCATGTCTATCACATTGCTAATTCTAGTGTGATAGCTATTTCAATTAACTAAATAGCCCAGATTCCATTCTCGAAGTGGAATTTAGAGCTGACTCACACAGATGAGGAGCAGTGGCATGTTGTTTCTGAAAACCAGAAGCCTTCCAATGCATTGTTATTTTGCTTTCCAGGGAATAACGATTAGGTAAAGTTAAATTCCATGATTTAGAAAGACAGTAACAGGGTAAGTTCGAAAACTAAGTCTTCTATGTTGTAGAAGAGGGTAGTGCTTTTGAACAGAAATGGTTTATGGACCATAAACTGAAACCAGTATCTATTTCTCAAGAAGGAAGTGGCCTAAATGGAAGCCTTTCTATTCAAATATTCCACTTTTCTTAAGAACATCCCCAGCCTTTAAAAGACAACTGTTGTCATTCTCATTAAAATGATTATATTCCTTTGTACTTAGAGTATGCATACATTTTAATTAAAAATAAAATTAAATTGAATATATGTAATTGAAAAGTTTTTAATCTAGAAGAAATATTTTATATTAATTTGCAAGGCCTCTCTACTAAGCTATACAGTCATAGCAATTGAGTAATAGCAAAAAAATCTATATAAATGGAGTTAACTAAAATAGAGAGTCAATATGAAAATCATAACAGTGATGCTGGAGCTCTGTATTCTCTGAAAAAGAAAAAAAAAGTGTACTAAGCTCCAAGGAGCTCTTTTTGGATATGGATGCAAATTTGAAACACAGTCAACCTCCCAGGAGATCAGAAATTGTGATTGCATCCCATCTCAAAGTTTCATTATTTTTCCCACAAAATCTCTAGAGGAGAAACATTCTGTAGACTTTGCTAACAGAAAACATTCAAGAACTGAGATTAAAATAGCAATTTCAGCCTTATTAAGGTGATACTGGACACTTTGAAATTATATGTATGCAATTGGAAAGTTCTCTAGCTAATCATTTTTTAAATTTAAATAAATCAAAGGACTAGGTTATGTAAACGTCAATTGATTCAAAATTGGGAAAGGGACTTTATAATTAATTGCTTTTTAAATAATTCTTTTAAGTAACAAAAATAACAGCTGCCTATTGGTTAAGATATTTCTAGGCATAATGAAATTAAATGATGTACCAACATTTAAATATGATTTGCCATGTTTTTATCTGTAATATCTTTTTATCAGTAATATATTTAATCTGTTTTTTTCTATGATGCTTGCATAACTCAGCTCCTTTGCAAACTCGGGGCTGAAATAAGCTATAATTCTTACATATTGCTCCGAATAAACAATCTTTATCATCACAGCTCATTCTTTAGAGTACTGCTCTCAAATGAAAGATACACAAACTCCACTCTTGAGTGCATTTGTTTTAGTTCAGATTTACTTAATGAAAATCCAGTGTAAGTTTGTATAATATGTTCTTATTGTTGTTAGCTATTTGTGAAAGATAGAAACCAGAGTTAATCTTGACATTTCTGGAAAAGTACAAGGAAGACAATCTAGCTTCAAGAAACCTAAGATAAATTATTTGAGTAGCAACACTTTTTTTATTTGTTTGTTTTGTTTTGGTACCGGGGATTGAACTCTGGTCCTTGCGCTTGCAAAGCAGGCCACCGAACCGCTGAGCTAAATAACCCGCCCCTAAAGAACACTTTTTGAATTGTGCGTGAGAGAGTGCAAAGTTATGACGTGTTTCATCCCATTTACCCACACGGTCCTGTGATTTTATAAGTGGAAGAGTACTAAAACTGAAGTCCAAAGAATTACAATGGAGTACATTATAATTTGAAGCCTTAGGCTGTTCTGAATGCGGTGAACATAATCAAATTTTTTAAGTTTGATAAATGAAATCTTTCATTTCACTGAGAATAAAGGCTCCTCTTTCCTACCCACTGAAATATATACAACCTAAGTTTTACTACTACTGAGTGAATCCTATTAACTTATATGTGTATTACTTAGATTTTTTTTCTCACCAGTAATTAATAGTTTGATTTTTCCTTTGAGTATGAGGAAATTCCAACTTACAATCCAATGTTTATTGATCAAGTGAATAAAATTAATTTAGGATTAATTAAACCTATTTTAAAATAATGAGTTTTTCTAGAGATTATTTTAAAATTTTAATGAAACATTATTTTTTGGGAGAAGCCAGGAGAGAGAAAGGGGACCCTGGGTAGATAGGTCAGTGTAGTTAAGGTTGGTGATGAATGAAGGGGTAGATGCTGCCATCTTGATTTACAAATGCATAACTATTTCAAAGTAGTATTTTTAGTCAGCATAGGTTTTTTTCTTTTTACAATATATTTTTAGTGTTCTGATTTCTAACATTCTT